TTACATTCATCCCTAACCCTAGATACGAATCTTTTACACAATGCGCCAGAAACTTAATTGGCGGAGCCCTGCCTACCAACGGCGACACGCTCAGCGGCATCACCGCCGCTGGCGCGCAGCTAGCAACCAGGCCTCCCCGAAGGGACTTTTTTTGGTGGTTCAGGCTCAGAGTTTAATGCAGGGCTTCAGCTTGCTTTTTTCAAAGGATACAAAAGGATTTTTTAAACTCAAGTCGCAGTTTTGAACATTCAGCCGACTTTAAACCGGGTGCTGCAGGAAGCCCTACTCATGAGAAGGACCCAACAGTTCTCTCGGCGCTCTCCAGCTTGGGGACTAAGGCTGAGGGTTCGGGATTGGCTGATGGCCCGGGGTTGTCAGTTATGGTAGTTTCCCAAAACAAGGGGACTCCAATGTAGACCCCAAAGTACTACAAGCCTTATTATGAGGACTCCCAAACTAATACCACTAATTTTGGGAAACCCCCATATCCCGTCCCAAGCAGAAGGCCTGCAATGACCGCGTTCGTCAACTCTGGAACCTGCAGCAGGAATGTTCAGTCTGTAGCATAACTGGCATAGAAAGACTATTTAAGGGGCTATAGAGGTATTACATAGGGAGTAAATAGGGTTTCGGGAGATTACCCTAATCATCAATTGGAAGAGACATTGGAAAATGAGATGGATGTGCGAAATATGTGATGCTTTCGCGACTCGCTATGTAGGTATATTACGAAACACCATTGGTTGCAATACTGATCATTGCATGGGACTACAGGTTATCAACTCGGGTTTTCTCAAGAAGAACAGAGCTTTGAGGTGTGTTCGAAGTATGCGGCACAACAGCCACGCAAAGACTCCAAGAAATGCAGCCCCAAAATAACCCTTACATAACCCCAATATAGTTCCAATACATCGGATTTGTAGGTTTCAATGGAAAACTGAAGTCTCGGCGACGGGGGCTCAGGATGGCGCCTCCTCCATTGCTAGTGGGGAGGCATGTGACTTTCGAAGCAACGAAGGCTGCAGCTAGAGTCCCCCTTCAGTAGATAGAATATGGCTTTTGGTATGTTATTATAAGATCCCCATATACCACATATTCTATCTACTTAAGGGGGACTATAGGTAGAATCCTGAAAAGCGTGTCATTTCACACTCCAAGCGGGGCTCACACTATAAAATCGATAGCTTAGTAGCTAGGCATGTAAAGCCCAGAAAGCGCAGCTCATAACCATCATCATCAGGCTGCGCATCGGCCCTAGGGCCCCTTAATATGTTCCAAACAAGTTACAAGCCGCCAGGAGCGCTTGAATGTACTGCATGTTTGTCTTTCTTTTGATCTTGCTTTCTTCTTCTTTTACGTGCCATACACAGTCCGGGGACTGCGTGCGGGCTTCACTTGCAGCACAGGGCCGCTGTCCGACTCGTAGAAATCGATGTTGAGTTAACTGAGGACCAGTCCCACCACACGCTCCCGCATCCCGTATTCCCATGTCCCATGTCCCCAAGTCTCGCCTCATGTGTGTCCCTGAGGTTCCCCCGTCATCTGCCCCCACATCTCAATCTCCTCAGCCGACCTCAATTCGTGCTCCTCTGCCCCGTAGAGGACATGATGGCCCTTCTTCTCTTAACCGGGTTCTTCACTGTTTCTTGCCTGCCCTGTGGCTTTGGCTTTGCTGGGGATTGTCAAAATCTTGTCCCCTGGAAGGGTTGGCTTTGCAAACTCAAACAGGAGTTCTGCAAAATCTGCTCAAAATTGCGCGTCTGTCCGAATTCTCCCTCCCAAGCCATCTGCCCTTCCTCGGCTCTCCCTATCTCTCTCTCCTCTATCCTCGCAGAACCACCAGTACGGAAGTCCGTGTGAGCTTGCCTGACTGAAGCCATCGCCATCCCCCCATCAGAGCTGAGGTGTTTCGCGTGATGAGGGGCTTCACTCCATTAAGGCTTTCGGAGTGTTGCAGCCTATCAAAGAGCTACCTGAAAAATTTGGGACGGGGGTAATGATCCAACCCAGGTGACTGCACCTCCCTCCCCTAAACCCCAGATCCTTTCTTGGGTGCCCAGTTAGCAATCAAAAAGGCCCACTTCACAACTAGGGGGTACAGCCTAAACATTTATACTACAAACATAATTCTAGGGATTGTTAAAGAGGGATCCCTAAGTGTCAGAAATCCACAGTAATCCCCAGGTAAGGATTTAGCACTCCTCCTTTTCTCAAACCTAGCTTCATGTGGAGGTTGTCAAATTCACGGTTCTGTTTCTTCAGTGAACCCCACCAAAAAGTGGGATGCCCTTTAATTTGGGTTTTCCAACATAGGGAACATATGGGGTCCCGTGCAGAAGTCCCTATAATGAGGGTATGCAAGTTTGAGATAGATAATTACAGGGGACCCCTGTTTAAAAACAACCCTAAACCCCTTAAACCCTGAACCCTAAATCCTAAACCCTAAACCCTAAACACCTAAACCCCCAAACTCCTAAACCCCTAAACCCTAAACCCCCAAACCCCTAAACCCCTGAACCCCTAAACCCTAAACCCTTAGGGGGACTCTGATGTCCAGCCAAACTCGAACAGCGAGGCCCGGACGCGAACAACAGTAGAACGTGTGTACAGCATGGAGAAAGCCATGCCTCGAAGTGGGTTCACGGTTTTTAGGGTTTAGGGTTTAGGGTTTGAGGGCTTAGGGTTCAGGGTTTAGGGCTTAGGGGCTGAGTGCTTAGGGTTTAGGGCTTAGGGTTTAGGGCTTAGGGTTCAGGGTTTAGGGTTTAGGGTTTAGGGCTTAGGGTTTAGGATTCTGGGTTGGGGCTTTGGGGATCCAACGATGCAGCTGAAAACGTCAGCCTCCTATACACCCTGGTGCTTGGTGCTGCCCCAGAGCTACGGGTGCTAAAGCCATACCTGCTGAACCTCTCTCCGTGAATTCGCATGGTGCAGAAGCAAAGCTGGCTATCATTGCCTTAGTGTCGGTGCCCAACAGAAACACACATTCGCCGAAAGGCTAAAACCCGGCACCGCAATGCTGAAGACTGCGACACTTGATTCGTCCCTGAACTCTCGGCTCTGAACTAAACTCCGAGATTCTCGATAAACTAAGATGCCGATAAAACCCATGCAACACTGACAGCAAAAACTGAAGACCTCAAGTCAAGACTGGCCCAGAAATGCCCAGCCCTAAACCCTAAGCTGTGACATAAATTGTGCCCAACCCTAAACCCCAAACCATCATCGTGTTTCATCCCCAATCGTCTTTGGCGATGATCTAAGAAGAAAGCCTTCAACTTACTGACCCTAAAAAGGCTTATTATATTGGGTAGGTAGTTAGGGTTTCAAGGTTTCGGGTTTTCGCGAATCAACACTTAACCCAAGAAGGTCCCCACAAAGACTACAAAGACCGTTGTCATCTTAAGACAAGGTCGTACGTGGTTCCACGTCAGTTTGGGCATGCAAAAAAAAAGCATCTCAGGGTTGAAGGTTAGGGTTTAGAGTGAACCCCTGAATGATATTCTCAGGCCCACATCCGTCCACCCTAGGGACCTAAACCCTAGGGTTTAGGGTTCAGGGTTCAGGCTTCAGGGTTCAGGGTTTAGGGTTTTGGGTTGGTTCAGGGTTTAGGGTTTACGAAAGCCAGCTCATGAGGTGTGATGTGTCTGGAGCGGGGGTGACAAAAGTCGACCATGTCATTCCTGGCTGTTGGCGGCTTCAGGGATAGGGTGGGTGATCCCTCTAAAAAATACAGTCTGCCGCAGTATACAAGGGGCGTACTTGATTTTGGATTTTGTTTTCAACTGCAACCTTGCGTGCGAGCATGGCTGTGCTACGGCTGTCAGCCGTGCACATGCTTGTGCGTGGAAGGAAAGAAGCTGCCTTATGCTCCACCAAGTCCGAGGCGGTCAAAAAGTTCTGCTCCCTCTTCTACTACTACTACTACTACTACTACGACGACGACGACGACGACTACTACTACTACTACTACTATGACGACGACGACGACGACGACGACGACGACGACGACGACGACGACGACGACGACTGTGTACTCCTCCTCCGACTCCTGCTTCTCCTCCTCCTCCGAGTATGTTTATCATGCTGATGGGAATTGCTGGAAAGTCGCTTCGATATAATCCTTGATGAGGAATCCGCTTGCTATCCACATACATCTTGTGGGGTCCATATTTGAGGAACCCCCTTCACAAAGACCTGCGGGCCTCCCAATCCACCACCCGCAGCAGCAAGCAGGGTCGTTGCCGACGCGTGCGCTACGACTAGGTCCTGCCTTCGTTGTCCGGGGGTACGGATTGGGGTTGAGGATTTTGGGTCCAGGCTTTTTTGTTTGTCTCGTTTTAGGTTTAGGGTATTTGCCGCCTAGAGATTGGGGCTTTGAGCTTGTGTGGAGGGGTCTTGGGGTGTGTTTGGGCTTTCAAAGCAGGAACACACATGAGCGTGCACAGGCCCCAAGCCGAGCGACCTCACGATGCTGTGCCACACCTGATTTTTTTCTCTGCTACAGTTGACGGACAAAGTCCATCAACCGTAGCATCTTGTCGGCCGAATCCATGAAAGAATCAAAGTTGCGGTTGATGATAGGAATTCGGGACCATCCTACTGTAGGTGCCTCCAATCCAAGGGAATCACAACACTTGAGGGCCACATGTGGGCGTGATTTCTCCGTGAACAACACCGTGCCTATTGGAGGTCCTTCAATTGAAACACAAGCAGCCAAATAGGACTTCCTAAAATGCAGTCCCCCTTAAGTAGATAGAATATGGGGTATATGGGGATCTGATTGTCATATACCCAAAGCCATATTCTATCTACTGAAGGGGGACTATACTTTAGGGGTTCTGGGTGTCAGGAAGCCCTGCTGCCTCCCAAGACCCATCCCCCCATGGGCTTAGAGTATGTTATAGCCCATTATAGTATATTATGGTCCATTATACTATCTAATTATAGTCCACTATAGTATGAAACTGCAAATGGGCATTTCCTGTGTGTGGCCAAGGGGCCCCAACGTCGTTTTGAACGTGGAGGCTGGGTTGAAAGCCAGAAACCCAACCAGAAGCAGGAACGTACCTGGGGTGTAAGGTCTAGCGCTTAGGGCTTTGCATGTGAAGATCAGATGGCAGCGAACTGGAGGTGTCTCGTCAGAATTGGGGGCGTCTGCTTGGAGACACTTAGACCCAGATTCTATACTAGCTGGGACACGCATGGCGGGACCCACCTCTTAGCCATTCCCGGAAAGCAACCAACGGGGCCTTCCCTGACACGATAGATGTGGCTCTTTTCCCCCTACTAGCCCTAGTTACCCTAGTTATCCCATTATTAGCGCACTTATTGAGTTGAGAACCGCCAGCGTTTGTGCGGGAAGCCTTCTTGCTCTTAAGGGCTCCTAGATGGAGCCCAAACACATTTAAATACTAGCAATAGTATGTGATAGAAATAATGATAATAGACATAATAATAATAATAACAATAATAGTAATAGTAGTAGTACTAGTAATAATGTTAGAACTGAAAACCTGAGACCCATTTTAAGTGCCCTCTCTTGCTCCAGAGGTGCATCGTGGTTGGGGCTTTCAATACGGAGAAGTTTGGTAAGGCGTAGAATATATGTAGGCCATTTTTGGTTTTGTGGAGTTGTATCAGGGGTCAAAGCTTGTGTAGGTGGCTCCTCATGTTCGATTTTGGCTCGAGGTATAACCTGTGCTGCAACTCCTTAGCATGCTTCAAGAGCCATCGCCTAAGTGCAGCCTTTTCTTGCGCCCTGAGCACTTCGAGAAACTAATCTAAGTTGAATAGTCAGGGGCCCACAAACATGACAACAAAGTGTAAAATCTGAATCTTTGGGAGACGCAACCAAAACACTTGAGACCCTACCCTATACGCTTAGAAGGCACTTACAGCACGAATCCCACAGCTAAAACCAGAGCGGTTCCTACAAACATCGAGACTTGGGAACGGTCCCTGCTTTTTTGGGGGGACCTTTTCTGCGCGGCACGATGTCCCGGAAATGTTCTCAAACACAGTCCAAAGACATGAGCCCACAAGTTTAAGGTTTGGGGCTTAGGGTAACATGTGAGCTCCAAACCTTAAACTGGGGTTGCTGCTAAGGAACTTAACTTATGTCACCACATTATGGGTATGTTGTAAATAATGGGGTGTTCTTTTTCTAGTAACTTAATCTAAATTACTTAACAACAACCTAGTAAAGCTCCATCCTTACAACCCCAAAAAAGGCAGGGCTTTGGGTTGAGGCTTTCATGTCCCAGCTTCCGAAAAGAAGCTGAACCGGGTGTCTGCACTTCCTGAAGGGAATGAACACCTTCCTCTCGACGGGGTCCTTACAAACGACATTGGCGGGTTTCCGGAAGCTAGGCCATATATTGGAGTCTATATGGGGGCCCGCTACTTTCGGAAACTGGAAACTACCACATTGGGGTGTCTCCAAACGATTGCGCTTTCAACATTGAGAGCCTTCAGGATTCAGAGCGCAGATAGGAAGAGGCTAACAAGGGTCTGGGTTAGGCAGGTTGGGATCTGGGTGCGGGGCAGAAGGTATGGGATTGCATAAGTGCGCTGTTGCAATTCTCTTCCGGTTTCACCACATCATTTTCTCAAACTCCTGGGCCCACTTCTGGGCCCTCCTCCCGTGTTCAATGCCGTTGCTCAAAGAAACCTACTGGTACTTGAGCTTGCTGGTGCATAGTAGGGCGGGAATGAGGGAATATCATCACCATAGAATCACTAGAATATCCTGCCCTATCCCCCCGGGTGGAGGAGCAAATAAACCGGGAATCAGAAACTGGGACCCCGGAATCGGTGAACCTGGGCCCTACACGGCCGCTTGCATACTTGCAAAATGACTCAAAAACAGACCCCAGATGCAGACAAGGAACCTGCGACTCCCCTAAACCCTAAACTCCAAATCCTATACCTTAAACCTTACCTCTAAACCTTACACCCTAAACAACCCTACACCCTAAACCCTAAACCTTACACCCTAAACCCTAAACCCTTAGGCAAGGCACTTGTGGCTCCCGGTAGTAGGCATCCCCATGATTCTCGATGAAGAGGAACTCAGTTTGTATGGGCTTCTGGGTTTATGGGCTTATGGGTCCATGGGTTTATGGGTTTATGGGGTTTGGGTTCAGAGTTTAGGGTTTATGGCCAAGGGTTTGGGGGGCTTGGGGTTGAGGACTTTGAATGGAGGGGTTTAAGGCTTGAGGGCGACGGCGAACATGTTTTGGGCTTGGACGGCTTTAAACGAAAGGATTAGAACTTGGGCTTTCGGTGTTCAGGTCAATACAGTAAGGTTTTGCCTTTGGGGTCAAGAGTTTTTGGTAGTTTCCCAAAGTCAGGGGACCCCAGTATAGACCCCAATATGCTGTAGTCCTTATTATAGGGACCCCCACACATCTACCCCTAATTTTGGGAAACCACCCTTTTGGGTGTGGGGTGCAGGCTGAAGGTTGAGGGCTTTCGGATGGTTGGCTTCAGATCCAGAAGCAAGAGTTCTCAGATTAAAGTTTTAGTTTTAGAATAGAGCGCCTTTTTCGGTAAAGGATCTAGGGTTTGGCGGCGTTTGGGTAAAGATCTGGGGGTGCATGGTCTTTGCACGAAGGGCTCCAGGTGTATGTTTGGAAGGTTTGCGCGGGATCCTTTTTTGCTTCCTCTTGTCCCATCCATCTCCTGCATTTGTAACGCAACTGTCCCTCTCTCCACCGCTCACCCTCGTCCTTCTTGTTGACCTTGAACCGTGACATGTCTCAGGGTTCTGGGTTGAGGCTTCAGGGTCCAACCTGTAAACTCTAAACTTCAAACCTTCTTTGCCCCATCTCCCTTTACTTTTCAGCCCTAAATGTAAGGCCTCCAGTCGCAAGCAAACCATCAACCCACATGGGCTGTCTGCCCAAAACAAAATAACCTGCACGACCAGGACCCCAAACAAGGACCAATGGCTTTTGGGCAATTTGCTTCTCTAACCTAAAGCTGGAACCATCCTGAACCTCAACCCCATACGCTGAACCCCAATCTCTACACATTCTTCTGACCTAGCCTGAACCCTCACCCCTACCTTCCCAACCTAAACCCTAAACCCTACATATCCCTGTAGAACCCCTATAACCCCCTTAAAAGGTACCCTATATATCCCTGTGGAACCCCTATAACCCCTCTTAAAGGTACCCCTACTTTTGGGAACCCCCCAAACTTCAAACCTGTCCGAGAGTCACTCCAAGGCCTCTTCCATGCGCGATAGCTTGGGAAGCGCCCGATGCGTGGACCCAGGAAGCCTTGAGATTTAAGGGGTTTGGGGTCTAGGGTTTAGGGTTTAGGGCTTGAAGCTTAGGGTTTGGGGTTTTGGGCTTGAAGCTTAGGGTTTGGGGTTTCGGGCTTGAAGCTTAGGGTACAGGGCTTAGGGTCTAGGGCTTTAGTGTTTAGGGTCTACGGGTGTAAGGGTTTAGGGTTTAGGGCTTGGGGTTTAGACCCTGGGAGGTTTATGGGTACAATCACATCCCTAAACCCTTGCCCTGGGAGGTTTATGGGTACAATCACATCTAGAGCTATCCTTCTTTTAACTACACTCACAACTACCCGAGTAGGTTGACTAGAGTGCAGGGTTTAGGACACAGGGTTGCGGGGTGCGGTTCAAAGAGCCTAGGGATTTTTAGGGATTGGGAGAGGTTCTGAAGGGGCGCAGGTAGGCGTGTAATGGCCTCTGAGGGCTTATGTAGGAGAAGCTTACGCCATTCAGGGTGCGGGGCGGTAGCGCCGAAGAAAGACGTCCTTGCCTGGCTGGATCTCCATGCAGATAGCTCGCTTTTCGGCACAAGGGATCTTCTCGCCATTCAACACAGGACGTGTTTTTGTTGGCATCGAAGCAGTGGTAGTGCGCATGCTGTCGGAAGTTGCGACAAGTAGGATGGCATGGATGTAATTGCTCAACGTGATTTTGAGCAAACCGAGATGGACAAAACTAGGGACCTTCCAGCTCCAGCCCGCTCGCATGAACTTTCGACCTGCTGGCCGGGCCAAAGGTGGACGGCTGCACTTCTGCTGAATCACGAACAGATTCCATGGAAGCTGTAGGGCCGTCACGCAGGTGTGGCAGGTGATGCTTCTGAATCTCAAAGACATCAGAGCATTACCAGGGTTCTCGACAAGGCAGCTGCCCAGATTTCAATGGGAACGAATTTGACGAATTTACCACAAGCATGCCAGTAGTAGTTGTCCAACTGCATCAGTTAACATGCATACTCGGTCATGGCTCGAAAGCAGAGCGGGACGTCGAGCCCCACTCCCGCCCAGCATAACCTTGAACCCTAGACCACCATGGAGCGTTGCACCAAGTCCTGCATAAACCTAAGGAGGCCAAAAGTTGAGGGTTGCAAGCCTGCCAGGGAATATTTACGAAACACAATGCTATCTATAATCGCACACAGAAGGGACTTCGGCATGTTACCAGCACGACTTGGGATTCTCCCTACCTGGTCCCAAACCCTCGGTGAAGCGCGCCTGCAAGTCTTTGGCCCGGCAGGCCTGTACAAAACCCTGAAGAACCTACTAGAACTGAACCCCATAGCATATGTCACCAGGGTTTAAGAGTTTAAGGTGTGGGATAAAAGGTTTAGGGTACATTAATGTAGGTTGGGGTCTAGCGTAAAGAGTTTAACACCTGCACACCTAGACCCTAGACAGTAAAAAACTCCGGAACACTGAATCCGTCAGTTACCCTTGATGACAAAAGCTAGCGTGGTCCTAAACATTGTAGTTCTTGTAAATCGGGGACCCCAATACAAACCCGAAAATACGATTGTCCTGATCATGGGACCCCTAGAATGGCACCCCTAACTTTGGGTAACCCCCACATACCCCCATTAGCACACATCTTCAGACGTAAGTAGACTATAGCCCCCCTTAAGTAGATAGAATATGGCTGTGGGTATATTAAAATAACATCCCATATACCCCATATTCTTTGTACTTAAGGGGACTATACCCGTATTGCACACATCCCAAGGCGTAAGTAAACTAAGCCCACAAAGCCCCAAAGTTGGCAAGGAACAAGTGGAGACGAGCGCAGAGATGGCACCCACCTGTCAGCTGAAGATGTGGTTTACCCAGAACATCCTTTAGGATTTAGGTTTACGCTTGAGGATTCAAGGTTCAAAGTGAAGGGTTTAAGCTTTCGGGCTTTGGGTTGAGGCCCTTTTAGAGAGCCCAAATACCAACAAATAGGCTGTTCAAGGGCAGCTGCGGGGGCCCTGGTAGAGATTCGGGCTTGGGGTTCGCGGTGCTGGCTGGGGCTTTGCGGATCAGCTAAACTCTCAAGAGGGCAGATGCATGATAAGAATATGTGTGCTACATCATCGACACTCCGCCTGAGAGACATGGTGTTTGATGTGGATTCCCTTGAGATGAGATGATAATCGTCTATATATGGTACCTGTTGTTCTGTTACCAGGCCGTTGAGGCTTCAAGATGTCTTTGGGGTCTTCAACTCGGCCCTAGGATTTCAGGACCTGCGTCTAGGATTTAAGGATGGATTAGAAGGGATAGGGAAGCCAAAATTCCGCAGTTTTTCTACATCCCAAACGCTGTTTTGTCCAAACTGTGTGTCAACACCCGGGCATTTCTTAGGAATGAAGCAAAAGATTGGGTAGTTTCCCTACATAGGGGGACCCCAATACAGACCCAAAATAGTATAGTCCTCATAATTGGGACCCCCAAAAGGGTATACCCAATTTTGGGAAGACCCCCGTTGCTGTAATCCGACAAACGTGGTGGCGTACGTCGCCAGCTCCCGCCAGCCCCAACGCATTCTCCTCATTTCTGGGTTGCTGCTAAGGAACTTCTTTAAATAGCTCTAATCAGGAAACAACATGATTTTCTATATACCCATATTATGGTATACCCATATTATGGCAACTTCATTTAAGTTCCTTTACAGTAACCCAGATTTTTGACTGAACATCGCGCTCTCGCTACACGCCCCCCGAGGAGGCCCTGCCCTTCAGAGCCGCGGCAGCTTTTGCGCGATACTCGCAACTGTCGTAGCTTTGCACGCTCAGGGTTGCAAGCCTTCGCAGCTCTATATATATATATATACACATATACATATATATATATAGAGTTGTGTAGGGTCGTATAGGGGTTATGTAGGGGTTATATTGGGGATATATTGGGGACATATTGGGGTTTTTGTTGGGGTTATATTGGGATAATGGAAAGGAAAATGGAAACTACTATTTAGGGTTTTGCCGCCATTGTCGCTGCTGTTTAGGTTATGAATGTTATCATTAGTACTGTAGGTCTTCTTCTTATTGGCATTACTATGCTTGGGGTCTACCAAGTCAGGCCTGCTCGTTGTTCTAAAGAGCTATCTCAGGCATCAGAAGTTTGTGAGCTACCTTACACCTGAGATGAATCCGCAAGTACCGGACAGCTTAGGGTTTGGGGCTTAGGGTTTACCAGGCCCTAAACCCACAGTCAAACGAAACTTCAACCCTGAACCACCCGCACTCTAAACCCCCCTGAACTGCAAAACATACACACCATCAACTCTTTCGAGCTCTGCATTTTGAACCCGAAACCACACAAAGCCCATGCACCCCAACCACCCCAGACACTAAACCACCATAAACCCAAAACCATCCAAACCCCAAAACCTTAATCCATTCCAATCCCAGACGCCTGGTGAACCACGACTGAGCCCGCGAAGTCCACGAAACCGAGCTCTTGCAACCAGCCATTTCCCCAAGCCAGGTAGGCGCAGATCCTTGCTTGCAAAGCTGCTTTGGAAATGGCAGTGAATGCTTAGGGGTTGTATTAGGGGTTATCAAGGGATTCTATAGGCATAATGGAAAAGAAAATGGAAACTATGTTATATGTTATATAGGGATTATAAAAGGGTGCGGGGTTTAGGGTGTAGGCAATTCCTCCCTTCTGGGTCCTTGAAATGGGGTACCCTGAAGCAGCCTTGTACTTTAGGGGCTGCAAGGGGAAGCCCTATTTTGTTAAATAACAAAATCCTTAGGGGTGATATTAAGGATTATTTTGGGATTATATATGGATAATGTGAAAGAAAATGGAAACGAACATATTAGGAGGATTATATATCATAAACATTCGCTTGAGCAGTTCTTGGAGTCTAGAAGGCCTTCTCATGCACTTTGCAGCAAGGCAGTACAAAGGTTGGGTCAAGCCACTAGGTTTAGAGCTGAGGGTGTGGTTCTCAACGAAATAACGCACTCACAAATGCAAATCTGGAAACATACTTGAAGAAAACCTACTGCTCATTGGGATTTCAGGCTGAGCCTCCAGGCTTGCTTCCTCTGAGTGGGTTTAAGGTCTAGGGTGTAGGGAAAAGAAAATGGAAACTACTGATTGAGGTTGAGACTTAGGCGTTTAGGAAAGGAAAAAAGAAAGCGCAAACTGCGTTTTGAGGTTTAGGTTTTAGGGATGGAAAAGAGAAGTGAAACTACCATGTAAGGATCAGGGCTTAGGAATGGAAAAAAGGGAAACCGACCCTAAACCCTAAACCACTGTAGGGTTTTGGGCACGGCTTCTGGCTTAGGGTTAGTAGGGAATGGAGGAATGAATCGCTATGGTACTCCTAATCCCTCGTAGGGTTTAGGGTTTAGGGACACACAAGATCATTTAGGCATAGGTCATAGGCTTCCTTGCAAAACAATAAGGATAGATCAAGGTTATCCCAAGTTGCCAGCTTATCCCTGCGTTCCACTCCTTCATTGCTTACTAGCCACCACGTAAAGGTTTTGATTTGCGGGGAGTCTGCATCCTAGACCTTGAACCCTAAACCCTAAACCCTAGTCCCTGAACCCTAAACCCTAAACCTTAAACCCTAAACCCTAAACCGCTTAGCTTTGTCAAATGGCGTTCCAACTCAGAAGCTCCATGGGGGTTTTGAAATTTACGGGAAGCTTATGCGGAAGTTTCTCAAAATGGGGGACTATATAGTCCCCCTTAAGTAGATAGAATATGGGGTATATGGGGATCTTCTTATAATATACCCAAAGCCATATTCTATCTACTTAAGGGGGACTATAGGTTTACGTGGGGATGGTCATGAAAGTATGGGATCCCCCTTGAGAGCGTTTGAAAAGGGGCAGGTTTTGAGATACGCCCAAGTAGCTTTGGCTACAGCAACTCATTTCCTTGCAATGTTGTTGATACTAAAAAGCCTGCATGATCCTAAGTCTTTTGTACCTGAGGACTTAATTGTTGCCCAAGCAGTGCTTGCAGTTTGGAATTCTTACCTTTGGGTCTAACCTTTTGGGTTTACCCATGCCCCATTTCACTTCGGCGCGCTCTGAGCAGCCCGCACGCAATCTGTCGTGGACAGAATCAGGTGGCCTAACCAAAAATAATTCTTGCTGTCCAATCATTATATGAAAAATGATGGTCCGCAATCATTAAGAATCTTCCCAAAAATACCCTACCAGCACTGTTACTCTTGTTGAGCCTGGTTCTCGCGAAGTGGCGGCGGCCAAAACGTTTTGTTTTTGACGTCTGCACCCATCAGATGTTGACAGGACACTCATGGGCTCACCTACTAGGGATATATATATATATATGTATACACACCCGGTCATGGAGAATCAACACGTAAAGAAAAAGGAAAATGAAATGCAAACTGCTGTTATAACTTATGGGCTACCTAACCACCCTCCTCGCTTAATTGGAGATTGGAGCATTTCAGGATAATTAGAGCTTGATTTAGGGGGGACCTGGGGGCGGCGTATAGGTAGCGGAACTGGCGAGACACGATATCTTGGCTGCACTCAGATGCCACGCACTGTTTTGGATGAGCACCGGCATGATGTCATGCAGGACTTTTAGTGTCAACCGTACTTCCCATGAACCCTAAACTCCAAACCCGAAACCCTAAACTCGAAACTCCAAAGCCCAAACCCTAAACTCACACTCAATATGAAAACACGTAGTCGCAACTTGCTGCTCATCCCCGAAATCTTTGCAGTAGATGGGAAGAAGGGATTTGGGGATCAGGGTTGGGATTTCGGCGGTTTAGGCCTGTAGGGCTTAGGGTTTGGGACTTGGGGCTCGGGATTTAGGTTCTAAGCTTCAGGGATTAGATTCTGAGAGTTTAGAAGGATTTCGGTCCAGAATGACAAAAAAAATGTCCCCCGGAATATCTCAGCAGAAACGTCTTGCGTCTGCTCATAGCATCTCCAAAGCCCCTTTCTTAAGGGTCCCCACTCTATACCTCGAAATACTATAATCCTCAATATAGGCACTCCCAAAAGGAATCCAACGTTTGCAGCCTACTCTGGGTTCAGACTTTCGGGTTAGCGGCACCCAGAAATCAGCAATGGTCAGAGCGAACTCAATGAATCCAAGCATCGGATAGAGAAGGCCTGTCATGACTGTCGATAACACCTCAGTTGTGCTGGCTCGGATGCAATGCTTCACAGGCTCATGGTTCACCAGTGATTGCAACCAGGGAGAACTATAAATGTGTCAGGTGAAAGGCACATGCAGCTTGCATACTTTAAGCTCTGCATGTAGCAACCCCCAACCCTAAATCCTTAACTGCTCATAACCCAACATGTAGCTGCCCTAAAAACCATACCCTAAGTTCAAACCTCGTGATCTAACACGAGCCTACATAGAAATACCCTGAACCCTACAAAACAAGCCCTGAACCCCTTAGAGCCCTCCCGGCCGTTTTATAATAATGTCAGAACCTCAAACTAACCCTCCTTGAGATTATTTCCGTATTGACCGCCAGTTGCAGTGAGATCAGGTGACGTCATCATAAGTTGCCCACTTAGGTTTAGGGTTTAGGGTTTAGGGTTTAGGCCTAAACCCTAACCCTTGAAACTCCACGCAGGATCAGCTAAGCGCCAAAGCTCCGGACACGGCTGATACCACGCAGCTGCTGGGTCCCCTATATGACCCCAATCAACATCACTTTGGTGGTATTGTGCACCCAAAGGTGATCTTTGAAACAATTTAAAACGAATTATAATTTAAAACGAAGTATAAGGAACTCTGGGGTGTATCCGGTAGTATAGGGATTAGTTCAAGTTCAGTTGGGGGTAATGTAGGGTTCTAAGGTGATATACAGATTTTGTTGGGCTTGAGGTGTTGCTCCCGCCGTAGAAATGGAATGCAACATGGAAACTGAGAGGATATGGAGCTTTAAGGGTGACTGGAAACTACTGTGAAGTGCTCTAGAAACAAAAACTCGAGTTCGGGATTGAGGGAGGTAGAGATAGAGTTTAGCGTTAACCCCACTGTTCAACCAGGGTTTAAGGTTAAGGGGGTTCAGGGTTTAGGCGTTAAGGGGTTTTGGGATTCCGGGATTTAGAGGTTTTAGGGTTAAGCATTTAGGGGTTAAGGGATTTAGGGTTACCAAAACTTCCATGATCAAACCTTGCAACCTCCTATCAGATCACGGATAGTTACCTCTCCTTCAACGAAGTTAGCTCGCGCTTCTTTTCAACAAGAGTTTCGGGTGGGTACTCGTATAGAAGGCCTACATCAAGCCAACATGTGAACCCGCTTACGTTATACGAGCATCATATTAAACAGTGGGGTGTACTCACCTGGTAATTACTCGATTGCAATTCTTCCTGATTCTCTACGTACCAACTTGAGTTCTGCTTTGCTTACAGAAACCATCAGCAAGTGTCCTACGGCTAACGAACTCAGTCTTGCAGTAGAGTTCACGGTGTAAGGTCTCCTGGCATACTCAAACTCAAACAAAATGGCAAAACACACGTGCTCCGTGCCATACCTACCTAGCCCCAAATCCTAGGTCCCTATATCCTCCTAGTTTCCATATCCCAGGGTACATTTCATGTGCACTTCAATTTCCATTTGATTCTCCTCTACTGGGATGATAATTTTCGCTAGGACCCAAACCCTATATATGTATATCTGTATGAATATATCCTATAACCCAGAACCCGTTAAAACGGACCATTATATAGTGGGCAGTTTCCGTTTTCTTTTTCATTCCTGACAGAACAAGCGGCGAGGTAAGGGAAGAAAGCCACCCGCCCCGCGAGGGCACCACTGTTAATGGTCGCAGCTGTGGTGGCATACGAAAACCTCATGTTTAGGATTCAGGGTTAAGGTTGGGGGTCTGCCACTCTTCCTGTAAGTAAGGCTCTAAGTCACCGCACTAGCAAGCGTAGCGTCTGTGAGATGCTGACAGTATACCCCGAAAGACTATTCCAGTGATTCAGGCCACTGTAGTACCCTGGTAGAGGACAAGCATGTCCTCTACTCCCTTTCGTTTATCTGCTGGAGGATGAAAATACATGCTCACCCCTGCGTAGCAGGGTGGACTATGAAGGCGAAGATCATATGCCTCCTCCAGAAGCTGTGAATGCAACATACGCATGGCTGTAAAGGCCGGTAATCTGCAAGCCGCCCCTTTTGAAATTCTGTGTCCGTTTATAGTGAAGTGCCATGGAAGCACCATCCTCGACGTTGATTTTGCCAAATGACCCCCTTTATGATTTCACGGGTGCCTTTGACTGGGCTTGTGATCAGGAATTCAAGTGATAGATGTGCAGACATGGCCTATCGTGCTCTGCAAACCTCCAACCATTGCATGCTTCCGGATTTTGATTGGAGACATGTTCCGCGGACATGTGTCAACGAATGACTCAGGGTATGGTTCGCAGCATCCAAGAACGGCCGAACCTTAAACGGTAAAACCCTAAAACCCAAGACCCTGAACCTTTAGGGAACTGTAGGGTATAGTTTGTAAGTATGCTTTGGGGGATCTGACTCCCCTCATGTTTGGAAACACCCATGCTATGAAAGCATAACGAACTGAGGGAGGGCCTGTCAGAAATGTGGGGTGCTTATTGCAGTACTTTTCAGGAACAGGGATCCTAGATAAGGCATCAGCAAACAATTAACTTTGATAAAAGCTTACCTCTCAATCTAATCAATGTCTTGCCCAGAAAAACCCACCCTGTAATGGATTCTCGCGGCCCAGGCCTAAAATCCTGGAACCATATTTTCAAAGGGGAAGACTACCTTTGAAAGGGCCTATTCGGATGCTGCTTATCATGAATTCGACGGTTCCGAGGTGACGAGAGGATCTTGATAACGAATGATAAGGAATTCGGTATCTCCTTTATTTGCTTGTGTTTACCGCTCTCCTGTGGCTGCTAAAGAGGAAATCACGTAACAGATCTGACAGCAATCAAAATGGAAAGCTGTATCTCCTTTCTTCTCAAGCCTTGTACTATTGTTTGAGGTAGCAACGCGCTAAACCCTAGACCCTAAACCTTAAACCCTAAACCCTAAATAGTAGTTTCCATTTTGACTGGCATAGCTTTTGACAATCTCTGCAATCGGCAGCGCTTCTTGGCGCACGTTTACGACCCATTGCAACATGGTTTAGGAAGGTCTACGTGAAGAATGTGATTAGAGGACTCTAAACAAAGTCCAATGAGAATTGCGGCCTTCCTCTCTTCTCAAGTTTGTATTGCTTTATGAGAAGCTTTCATAACAGGATTAGACGAGGAACCAGCAAGAAAAAATGCTATTTACAGATTTCTTGTAGTTGCTCGGTTATGATTGCTCTTCTACAGGGTTTCCATGAAGTGGAAATCGAATTTGACTTTGGGAATTCCTATGTTCAGTCAAACAAGCTCCTGCCTTGCCTTTTGTAGGAAACCGACTCCCCGGCAATAAATCCTCGAGGTGGACTTGCAGGACAGGGGACAACTCATTCATTCTCAGGGTGAAGAGATTGATTTATTCCTAACCCCTACACTCTAATCCCCATTTTTTATCCCAATATGTATTCCCAAAAACCGACCCGCACTCTCGAAACGCCTTGTCTGGGATCTAGCTGAACCATGAATCACGCAAGGATCCCAAAGGATGGAAGCACGCATTCTCGCGGCAGTCAGCCCGCGCGATTGAGGATGAGGGCTTCGTGGGTGAAGGAGGTGACCACTAGGTTTTGTGCTTTGAGTTGGGCGTTTAGATGGCACCCTCGTAATGAGGGCCGGATGAACTTTCAAAAGCTCCCGCTTTCCAACCTCTGAAACCCAGAGCCTGAAACCTGACCAGAAACCTTCAAACCTGGACCCCACACCCGTACTATCCAACTGAAATCATCACCACCGAACCAAAAAAAGTAACATTCTACAACCCCTCCTCCCTGAAGCCCAAATCCTAAACCTTACACAACCCCCTTTATATAATCCTATAGATTATGTAACCCTATATATCCCTCTATATCCCTTATAGCCTTAAACGGCCTGTTGCCGGCCAAGGGGCGTGCAAAAGAAGTGTGCTAGGTCGCTGCCGGCATCCCCCAAACCTGGCGTTAGGGGTTTAGGGTTTGGGGTGAAGGGTTTGGGGTTAAGGGTTTAAGGTTTAGGGTGTTACGCCAGTAATGAAGGATCAACTGGTTTCAGGGTTGAAGGTGTAGGTGCAAGGTTTTTAAGGGTGCAGGAGTTTAGGGTTGAGGGTTTCGTTTCTGGCGAGTCTAGGGTGCCGCAGCTTAGGGTTTGTGAAGGGCTTTGTGGGGGTTGTCTTGGTGTAGTGTGGGATTTCGGGATTTGAGGGTTGAGGAGTATTGGACTTCAGCAAAGCACAGAAACATTCTTCTCTTTCGTGATACTGTGGGAGTTTAATGAAAATCGACTTTCGTGATACTGGGGGAGTTTAATGAAAATCGAACCATCTTCTCTTTGTGGATCCAACTATCCCTACGAAACTGCTACTCACCAAGCTAGGATCAAGGGACAGGGCCCAGGGCTTGCAGGCTTCTGATACTGAGTCCGAGAAACCTAAACCCTGAGCCCAAAGCCTTATCAGTGTACATGCCTTATGCCACCCACATGCATGCGAAAACCTCAGCCTGAGGTAAATCCTGGACTTCGTTAAGAATCCATGCTGGCAGTGGTGATGGCAGTGGCGGCAGTGGTGGTGGTAGTAGTTGGAGCATTTCATTTTGGGGGTATGCATTCTGCTGACATGACAAAGCCATGCTGCATAAACTTGGATCACAGACCCGGAACTGGAAGCTAGCTGCAGCCGTGTTGCTAGTTATGTTATGTGTGTCGTGGTAGGCAATGTAATACCCAAAGAGGAAGAAAGCCAGCACACCTCAGTGGCAGGCAACTCGCATGAAAGCCCATTTTGGCACCTGTTGTAGATTACGTTTCTTTTCATGAGGCTCCATCTTCGTTGAAGGGTTCAGATTAGGGGGACGGGTCAGTGAAAAACGTTGCCACAGGTGTATTTCTCAAACTATGGGTCCGCTTGTATAGCCACAAGATATCTGAGGCTCTCGAAGGGGACCTGCCCCCACCCGCTTTCGGTCTATAAAAGGAGGCTGGATATAGGTATAAGTTATAAACACGATCCAGTTGTTAACGAGTTGGGGCAGTACCCAACACATGCCCCCAGTAACTTCTGTATAAGAAGTGCTGCGGCCCGATGTGACAGCTAACTAGTTGGAGGCTCAAGATGGGAGCATTGGAAGTACAACTCATTACAACCTTGTGTTGAATAACGCAAAAGCCTACTTGGAACTGCCCCGGCACCTCCATGAAGGGCCCTCAGAACAGACCAACAAACACAAGCCTTTGGACCACACAGAGGAACAGCTTTAAGATCTCAGATTCTCAATCCTAGCATTCGCAGCACTACTTCCTACTAAACAAAAAGTTGTCAGTTTCTGGGTATCCTTCATAGCAATATTGTCATTATGATGATGATTCCAGTTACTGTTGCAAATACTTCTGCTATTGCTACTTGTAGCTACGGGATACTTCACCGCAACTAGATGTTGGTCTTTTGTGCGAAAGTATTGTAGGGCTAAGCAGTCAGAATAGGGTTCGGGATACATTATGACAGGGTTATGGGCCACGTCCTAGTTTAATCGTGGAAGGATTGTCGGGAAAGAATATTGTCACTGGTTCAGGCTTCTATGTTGGGCTTGCTGGTTCTGGCCTTATCATCAAGAGTTCTACAGAGTGGTGGCGGCACAGAAGGGTAACGTTTTGTGCGGTTGGACCAAAAGAATATGCCGAAAGCGAAGTATATTCTTACTCTGAGATATGTTGGGTGCTATAGGAGCCCGAAGGAAACACTACTGAGAAGAGCATACAAATAAAATCGCAAATCCGCGGCTCATACTGATGATATGAATCTTATTCTTGCCTGACCTTTCTATACCCAAGCATGCAGGACTTCCTAGGGCTTGGGAGGTTTACATTAGTTGGCTCACGCAGGGTTTCGCATCGAACATATGATGAGAAGCTGAAAATGGACCAGCAAGCCAGCCAAAACACCGATGCAAAGATCGAGCATGTTCTTCATCATAATGTTTGCTGCGTTGTTGGGCTGCTGATACGCTGACCTGAGCACTTGCTTTGGCTCGAGTCCAAACATCAATTACGTATCTTGGCAATTGATGCATGGTTCGCTGAACCATCCGCACCAGCCCTCAATCTGAACATCTAGGGTAAAGCATCTTAACTCTGAACCCCGAGCAGATGTGGATAAGCGCTGCCACTCGACTTGAGGTGCGAGTTACATTCGTGGCCTCCCTGAAAGAACACTCTATGTATATATGCACTCACCAACATGCCCAGGGATCCTGATAGGTACACCAACATACACCAACCAAGAAACCACTGTAACAACCCTCTCACTTCTTTCGTGCTTTTATTGGCCAGCAAGCAACTACTAATGATACTAGCAGGAATAGTAGTGGTAGCGGGGGCG